CCAAAAGCCAAAATAAAAAATAAACCTGATTGTGTCTGTCTAAACAGTCCCTATTCAAATAATTTACTCTAGGTAGGGAAGATGAATTTTCATACCTGGTTCAAGCCATGCACAGCATTGCTACTCCATGTCTCCTTCTAAGGAGAAGGACAGACAAAGGGAAAGTTACTTTCCCATTTAAAAAAGTTTAGCCTTTCCATTGGCTCTTTTGGTCAGGTGCCCACTCCTTTTCTTTTACCTGTGGGCTTGTTAATCCTTTACAGGTAAAGCAAGCAGAGAACTCACACCAACAGGGATTTTACAGCAAGGCTGGCTGGGTGTTACAAAAGGGAGCTCTATTCCCTCCCCTTCATTTATCATTTGAAAAAGACATTATTTACTGAATATCCTCCTGTTAAAACGTGTAGCAACAGTGTATGTAAAGTTATGAGATTTTACGGTATGATATTACTGAAAAAGTTGCAACCCTAATCCTAAATTCCTCAGAGACAGCAAGGCAAACAGCTGGTCAAAAAGCCATTCTCCAGCAGGGGGAAGGTGTGAAGAAGACATTTACATTCCACCACAGGGACCAGTTGAAGCTCATATCTACAACAGACCGTCTGTCACCATTACTCAGCTGAGAACTGAAGTTGTTTCTAGTACAAAGGATTGAATTATAAAAAGAGGTGAGGAAAATGCTTGAGACTCTCTCCCCTTTCCCTCTGCTCACGACAACTCCTGAAGAACTGAACTTGGGCAACAGGGGCAGGTTAGGGGGAGTCCTGGCTGAAAGGAAAGCCAGCCTGTCTCAGCATATGGTGAGAGAAACATTTGTTTTAAATCTGTTTTAGCTTGTCACGTTAAACATTAGTTCATGTTTTATCTTGCATTTCTTTTGTAAACAATTCAGACGTTTATGCCTCCTTATTTGTAGTCACTTAATCTTTTTTTTCCCCAGTAGTTAATAATTTTGTTTTATTGTTTTATCTAACCAGTATGTTTGGATTAAAGTGTATTGGAAACTCCATTTGGGATAACAAGGCTGGAGCATGTCATTTTCCACTGAGGAAATAACAGACTTCATATGAGCTTGCGTTGTTCAGTAATGTTCTGGACAGGGCAAGATGCACATTTCTGGTGGAAAGTCTGGGACCAGAGAATTTTCTACAGTTCTCCTGTGGTGTACTGCAATTCGTGAGTCGCTGACTAGCAGCACTCAAAACTGTGTAGTTGAGAGCGAGTTACATGCTGAAGACTGTGTGTTAACTGCCCAGGAGTGGCTGCTCTCACAGTAAAGCAGTGTAAAAGGCACCCCAGGCTGGGGAACTGAGGGGACACAGCTGTTCAACAGTCCAGATTGCACTGTGGTGAGTGTCTGTGACATTAAATTTCAAAGAGGCTCTAAAACACCAAGAAACTAAATCCACGTCCCAGAAATCGAATTTAACACCATTAATCTGGGCTTGAATAGGGACTGGCTGGCTCATTACAGAAGCAGCTTTTCCTCTCCTGGAATTGACACCTCCTCATCTATTATTGGGAGTGGACTACATCCACTCTGATGGAATTGGCCCTGTCAACACTGGTTCTCCACTTGCGAAGTAACTCCCTGCACTCCATATGTCAGTATATAATGCCTGCATCTGTAACTTTCACTCTCTGCATCTGAAGAAGTGAGGTTTTTACCCACGAAAGCTTATGCCCAAATAAATCTGTTAGTCTTTAAGGTGCCACCAGACTCCTTGTTGTTTTTCCAGAAATCGAAGTTTCCAGACAGAGGGCAAGTCTCCCTGGCACTGCTTCTTACTGACAGACAGGTCCAGTGACAAAGAGAGAGTCCTGGGGAAGCTGGAAACAGTAAGCATGGGCTGGTGGGGTTCAGTGGAGAAAGGGAACAGGAAGGGCAGGGATATTACTGAACGCAGGATCTCAGCAGTACTAAATGTCAGGATATCACATATTGCAGCCCATTGGAAAACATAATGCCAAATATACATATAAAATGAAGGGGTCTAAATCAATTTCCATTGATTTATATAAGGGCAATAAGATATTCTCTGTATTATTGTCTATCCCTTTTTAAATAATTCCTAACATCCCGTTTGCTTTTTTGATCTCTGCTGCACACTGCGTGGATGTCTTCATAGAACTATCCACAATGACTCCAAGATCTTTTTCCTGATTAGTTGTAGCCACATTTCCCCATCATATTGTACATATAGTTGGGGTTATTTTTTCCAATGTGCATTACTTTATATTTATCCACATAAAATTTCATTGGCCATTTTGTTGCCCATTCACTTAGTTTTGTGAGATCTTTTTGAAGTTCTTCACAGTCTGCTTTGGTCTTAACTATCTTGAGCAGTTTAGTACTATCTGCAAATTTTGCCATCTCACTGTTTACCCCTTTCTCCAGATCATTTATGAATAAGCTGAATAGGATTGATCCTAGGACTGACCCTTGGGGAACACCACTAGTTACTCCTCTCCATTCTGAAAATTTATCATTTATTACTACCCTTTGTTCCCTGTCTTTTAACTAGTTCTCGATCCATGAAAAGATTTTCCCTCTTATCCCATGACAGCTTAATTTATGTAAGAGACTTTGGTGAGGGACCTTGTCAAAGGCTTTCTGGACAGTGTCCACTGGATTCCCATTGTCCACATGTTTGTTGACACCTTCAAAGAACTCTAATAGATTACTAAGACATGATTTCCCTTTACAGAAAC